TAGCTGCTGCCAGGCCCATAATCTGCCATGTGCCCCTGTACCGCCTCCTCATGCTGCTGCCAGGTCCACAGTGTCTCATGCCATGTGCCACTTTCAGGTCTCCTCACACTGCTGGTGTGTTCCATTTTTTGTCATAGGGTGCTGGCAGATTACGGGCCTCCCATTGCTGCTGGCAGGCCCCTAATCTGCCATGGCTGCTGCCAGGTCCACAGTGTCTTATGGATCCCTGTACGGCCTCCCATTGCTGCTGTCTCCATCGGGACACTCTGCCATGTGCCACTTTCAGGTCTCTTCACACACTGCTGGTGTGTTCCATTTTTTGTCATAGGGTGCTGGCAGATTACGGGCCTCCCATTGCTGCTGCCAGGCCCGTAATCTGCCATGGGCCCCCGTACCGACTCCTCATGCTGCTGCCAGGCCCGTAATCTGTCATGGGCCCCTGTTGTCGCTTGTTGGCATATTCCGCTCGTTCAGATGCTCCTTCTCCTGCTACTCCTCTTCACGGATTCCGTCAGCAGTCTTTCTTGGAATCCATTTCCAAGAGACAACAGTTTGCGAGCACGCACCCGACGGTGCAGAAGCTGAACGTCCTCCTGTCCAAGTTGCTGCTGCCAGGCTCGTAATCTGTCATGCGCCCCTGTACCGCCTCCTCATGCTGCTGCCAGGTCCAGAGTGTGTCATGGGTCCCTGTACGGCCTCCCATTGCTGCTGCCATGCCCGTAATCTGCCATGGGCCCCCGTACCAACTCCTCATGCTGCTGCCAGGCCCGTAATCTGTCATGGGCCCCTGTACCGCCTCCTCATGCTGCTGCCAGGTCCAGAGTGTGTCATGGGTCCCTGTACGGCCTCCCATTGCTGCTGTCTCCATCGCCACACTCTGCCATGTGCCACTTTCAGGTCTCCTCACACTGCTGGTGGTTTCCATTTTTGTCATAGGGTGCTGTATGGCCTCCCATTGCTGCTGCCTCCACCGCCACACTGTGGCTCCACACTCTGGTTTGGCCCCCGTGACTGCCCAAATGAGTGAAGTGTGCGGTGATTCTAAGATCGACGGCACTCATCTGCATGTCATACTGACTGTCAGTATTATTTCTCTTCCCCAGCAGACTCCAAGGGCATTTAAATTAAAGGTACAGTGTTCTGCACTAATATAAAGGCTCTCTGAAGCCTAGAAACACCCTTTTATAAGTTAAATTCGCAGCGACTATATTCGACTCGAATAGAAATTTTTTCACGAATTCGCCGAATCAGTCGAATCGAATTTTTGAATAATTCGCTCATCTCTACTGATATAGCAACAATATATTTCTACACATGACCACCCACCAATAGATGTTAAGCACATAGATCAATACAACTGCATATGCATAGTTACATCTATACATCAGTAGTGGTATCAGCACGCAGTTTTTGTAGGGATAGGCAGATGTGTTGAATATCGGTGTGCCCATAACTCTACATGTTTCACATTTAGGTCCAGGAGAGGCAAGGTGCTGTTAGACAAATGTAATAGCATTATATTCAACATACATGTATGGTCTCAATGACCATATGAAAAACCACACTAAAATCCCATAAAGACTGAAATGTAACAACGTAATGTAATCTGTAAGTAAACAAATGAAAATAAATCGTCTCTAGACTAATAATTCCGGGATATTACAAAACTGCTGATCAAAAAAATTCACAGCTAGGCTCACAAAATTTAAGATTAAAATTTGAACACAGAAAAAAAGGTAATTATTATTCATACCGTGTCTAATAGAGACATCTCAAAAAATATAATACATTCACTAGGAGCATCAAGAGTAACTGTCACAGTTTATAGGATGATGTTCAGGTTATCCAAAAATGAAAAATGAAACATATCCCAATAAGGCACATGTAATCCAATGAATGATATAACATACAGACATGGAAAGCCACAAGCAAATAAGTTCAATCATAATGAGTACTTGCCATGAATGTAACATCAGAGGACATTTCCATCTTCCCAGCTGGGCTGGCACATTCTGCTCTGTCCAGCTTCCTTTTGGCCCCTCCCACCACATTGGCGTTGGTGCATATACTATAAACCATACTGGGGCATGATTGTGCCACTAGGCAAGTGTGATACAGTTGCCAACATGCCAAGGGCCATGTCCACTCATGCCCATATGAGAATATAATGTGAGATTTATGTATTTCAACGACAACACACTCTGTCATCCTCAGCGTGACCCTCAATATGATAGGCTCCACAAAAAGTGGTCCCTTGTAAATCACCTTAAAGTGATTCTAAAGGCTTATTTAAAAAAAACAAAAAACAAACATGTCTTATGCTTACCTGCTGTGTGCAGTGGTTTTACAAAGAGCAGACTGGATTCTCCTCTTCTCGGGTCCCCCCACTGGCATTCCTGTCAGGTGCACAGCAAGCAGCTTGCTATGAGGGCACCCACGGATCCATGTATTCATTCACACACAGAGTTGTAGCTCTTCCCCGCCCCTTCTCTCTTCTCATTGGCTCACTGGCTGTGATTGAGAGCAATGAGAGCTAATGGCTCCTGCTTCTATCTCAGCCAATGGGGCGAGGGAGTCCCGGAATAGCTGAGACTCCAGTGCAAATCTCTGGATCAAGAGGGGGCTTAGGTGAGTTTTGGGGGGGCTGGGGGGGATGCTGCACAGAGAAGGCTTTTTTACCTTCATGCATAGAATGCAACAAGACATAAAACCTTAAACATTTAGAAACACTTCAACCAGAAATTTGCAGATGTCTATATGTGGCAGCAAAACATCTGCGTTGAAGAGTCCCTCATTAGTTTTTCTGACTACCTGGCACTCAAAAAGTTTCTCCCCAGCAAGCGTGCCATGAAAGATGAGGGAAAAGATAATCACATGGAGCCCCCCGATGCCCAGACTACATGGGGAGCAGTGGCAAAATAGTTTGGGACTTGGTGTCACCCTTTTTCCATATGGGGTACCATTTATATGTGGACAATTTTTAGAAAAGTGTGCCACTAATTATACATTTGTACAATCTTTGAATTGGTGCATGTGACACCGTGCAACCTAATTGTTTCCTCCAATGGCTTGTAAATACCCGACTTAGAAAGGGGAAGAAAGCCTGCTTGAAAAATGATTAATTGATCGCTGTGAAGTGGAAGGACAAACAAATGTTTTTGTTCTGTCTTCCATTCACACAAACCCAACCATCCAGATTTCAAGGGCAGCTGGTGTTGAGAAGTCCCTCTGTGTCCACAACTTTAATCTTAACATGGGAGGGGTGGACTTCCAACGACCAGATGATGAAGCCATACTTAGTTTCCCATAAAGCCAGACGCTGGTACAAAAAGTGTCTGTATAATATTTCAATTGGCTCTGTACAATGCTTTTGTGCTTCACAAAGCACATCCTTCCTACAATTTCAGGAAGAGATCATCACAGCCCTTTTGTATCCAGAAGGTGCAGTGGCCCAAACCCCCAACCCAGATGCAGTGGGCCAACTGTATGAGAGGCATTTTCCTGATGATGTTCCTGGTGCCCCAACCCAAAAGTCACCCAAAAAAAGATGTGTCTGTAGCAGACACAGAATTAGGCATGACACCCGTGTTTTTTGTCCCTCCTTTCCTGGCCATCCTGGTCTCTGCCTCAAGGACTGCTTCTGTCACTCCCACACACTAGTGGAGTATTAGTATAGGGTACAGAACAGCACAGTACATGGCACATATTTACACAGGGTCTAGAAAGATCTTAGATAGGCAGGAAACTGGCTATCGCATTTTGAGAGACCCTAACATTCTGAAAAGTTTACAGTTTGATTTTTAAAAAAAAATGTTAAAAAAAATTAAAAATAAACAAAAAAGTAAAAAAAAAATTAAAAAGTAAAAATTAAAAAGCCAAAAATAATTGTCATTTTATTGAGTTACTGTTCTATTGTTGCTATTGTTAACCATTGTTGTTTTCTTTTCAGGAATGCCATTCTGCTACAGCACTGATCTGTTTATTCTGACAGCAACAGGGTGTGCTCTCAGATTATACGTCAGTTAATGCAGTTAAAAAAAAAGAACATATACTGTATGCTCAAGCCTGGGGGCCTGGGGTGATCAGTAGGTGGATCACTCTTATGCTTCGGCATTTATTTGTAAAAATATTTTGGCAGAGACTTCTTCATTTACATCGATCAATGTGAATAGAGGAATCAGGTTCTTTTTTTCATTCAGCTCATGGGCTGAACGAAAAAAAAAAGAACATTTCATGTACACCAAACATTAGAAGTGAGTGGATGCAGGGAAATATATTCTATTGGTGAGCATACCACACACTTTTTTTCTGGCAGAGATTTCTTCTCTTTTTTTAATTTAGCCCACAGGCTGCATAACAAAATAAAAGAACATAGCATATATGCCCAACAAAGACCAGCAATGTACTGGTACATCACTGGACTTTGAGTGGTTATACTAGGATGATGCCTGCAGCTATCTGTAGGCATCATCCTGGTATTGTTTTTTCAGCCAGCGGTCGGCTTTCATGTAACAGCAATCCTAGTGGCTAATTGGCTGCAGGATTGCTTTTACAAGCAGCAGCAAGAGATGCCACCCCACTGCTGACTTCCTTGGCTTTCTCGGACTGTTCTGTCCCATTGGGGATCCTGAGAATACAGCCAGCATTTCCACCAGCTTACCATAGAGCTTATTGGGGACTGGAAAGGCTCCAATCATCTCTATAATCTAAGAAACTGGAGCTACCAGCATTTCATCATTCCGGTTTTGCAAGATATAAACAGCGCCATTTTTAAATTAGGAAAGCATCTGATCACACTAATCTTGGTGAGATCAGATGTTTTAAGGGCAGAGGAGATATATAGAGAAAATAAATAAAAGTATTCCATTGACTTAACATGCCTATCAGCAAATAGTCTGGGGTGTCTACTTTGCTAAAAGGGGTCATTTGGGGAAGGGGGGAGGGGTTGTGCTATCTTGGAATTTCAGAGCCTCTGAAATTGTCATAAGTAGTGAAATGAGGAATTTACGATCCATTGGCATGTGTGAGCAATATATAATTTAAGTGACAACTTTGTGTAAAATAAAAAATTTTTTTTTTTTCATTTTCCAAAAACGTGTGGTAAAAAATAAAGTATTGCATTGACTCAGTATGGCTCTCAGTTTTGGGTGTCTACTTTCCAAAAAGGGGTCATTTTGGGGGGGATGCTATCCTGGAATTTCAGGGCCTCTTAGATAGGTAGTGAGGAAGTGAAATGAGGAATTTACACAACTTCAGGCTTTCAAAAAAGGGACCATTAGATATCAGGCTTCTGTGTGTGGCTAGGCTCCCAAAAAGTCTCACACATACTCTGGAAAAGTAGCAGAATACATTTAGGGGTGTATTTTCAAATATATCTATGGCATCTGGGAGCAATATATCATTTAAATGACAAACATTTTATTTTCCAAAATCTGGTGAAAAAAAATCTTG